CTATATATTTCTGCTGACCTAATACAACACCTTATAGTCTAAGGTCTCTCCCTATATATTTCTGCTGACCTAATACAACACCTTATAGTCTAAGGTCTCTCCCTATATATTTCTGCTGACGTAATACAACACCTTATAGTCTAAGGTCTCTCCCTATATATTTCTGCTGACCTAATACAACACCTTATAGTCTAAGGTCTCTCCCTATATATTTCTGCTGACCTAATACAACACCGTATACGTCTAAGGTTTCCCCCTATATATTTCTGCTGACCTAATACAACACCGTATACGGCTAAGGTCTCGCCCTATATATTTCTGCTGACCTAATACAACACCGTATACGTCTAAGGTTTCCCCCTATATATTTCTGCTGACCTAATACAACACCTTATAGTCTAAGGTCTCTCCCTATATATTTCTGCTGACCTAATACAACACCTTATAGTCTAAGGTCTCGCCCTATATATTTCTGCTGACCTAATACAACACCGTATACGTCTAAGGTTTCCCCTATATATTTCTGCTGACCTAATACAAAACCTTATAGTCTAAGGTCTCTCCCTAATACAACACCTTATAGTCTAAGGTCTCTCCCTATATATTTCTGCTGACCTAATACAACACCTTATAGTCTAAGGTCTCGCCCTATATATTTCTGCTGACCTAATACAACACCGTATACGGCTAAGGTCTCGCCCTATATATCTCTGCTGACCTAATACAACACCTTATAGTCTAAGGTCTCGCCCTATATATTTCTGCTGACCTAATACAACACCGTATACGGCTGAGGTTTCGCCCTATTTATATTTCTGCTGACCTAATACAACACCTTATAGTCTAAGGTCTCGCCCTATATATTTCTGCTGACCTAATACAACACCGTATACGGCTGAGGTTTCGCCCTATTTATATTTCTGCTGACCTAATGTGACACCGTCTACGTCTGGCGTCATGCCTTACATATTTCTGCTGACCTTATACAACACCGTATACGGCAGACGTCACGCCTTAATTACTGCATAATTACTTTGTGTACGGATTTTGGATTTGGACATTTGCCAGAAGTGGTAGGGGAAACTGAACTATGGGGTCGTTTGGTTGGTTATTTGTTTTGGGGTTTGGGGTTGTTTTTCAGGTTATGTGTTTGTTCATTACATTTGTACAAGGTGGTTATGTTAAGTTAAGGGTCAAAGGGAGACTACTCTTCAAACCTTAGAGGCCAAACCTCTTTTGATATTTCCATTCACTTTACAATTGTGGATATGTAAAAACAAAATAGTCCAGTAAATAGAAGCGACAAAACCACATCCATAAGAAATCTCTGCTAAAAGCAGAGTCGATTGTACAATTGTGACTATATCATGAGTAGTATATATATACACCCGTGCATTACCTAAACACCACCCTATTTTGAAAATAAGATGTGATGCTACAGAAAAGTTAGGGTATAGCCATCAATTTAATCAACCTGTAGTTAAAGAAGCTTTATCCATTGACAGTTTTACAAATACCATAACCTTTTCTATTCTTTGTGAAAGAATATGTTGATGAAAATGTGATGGGACTGAATTTTTACCCAAAATAACTATTCCTCTCCTGCTGAAACTACACAATTAAATTAAGTTTTGACTAATATAACAATTCTGTTATATAACAAGATGACATTTACACATCAAGTTTGCTTTAATTATGCATAATCAGGAAGAACCCGAATCTCAAAGATTCAGACCTTTTCAACAATTCAGATTGCTAACTGACAAAAACTGAAAAAAGGCCACACTAATCTGATTTTGGAATAAAATCATTTCTTTAACGATTTTTGAGTTTATTGTAATGAATAAACACGTCTCCTTGCTGGATACTGATAATTACAACTAAAATCTGTTTGTTTTGTTTGCAAAGCAACTTTTACTGCATTTTATAATTTTCCTTTTTTTAGCTTGACTCAAAATTTTCCTCAATCTTAGTTTACAAACTTTCATCCATTCACAATAAATAACGAATTTATAGGCCACACAACAATCAATTATTACTTTCACTTTTCAAAATAAGGTAACTTGTTTTAGGACAGAAAAACACCTGTTTTAAATATAGGCAATTATCCTAATTAAAGTACATGGTACTTCCAATGATGTTTTCGTTTTTGAAATGTTAAATGCTTGCTCTATCAAATTTGGGGGGAAGAGTTTAGGATTTCATTTCAGACAAAATTAATTGGTAAAAATACAGGGTGGTGCTTATTTTATGCACAGATGTATATTTGGTTCAGAAGTATTACAGCTGTATGATGTTGTTTGTAAACATATCGAGTGACTATGTCACCATGCGATATACTGATGGAGCATGTGTTTATGAATCACTATGAACACCAGGTGTTCGCGAAAAGGTGAGCGTATCCTGTCCCACCGATAACATCCGTCATGAACATATGACGGTTCTAGTCAGTTGTTCACCTGAAATAATTCGGGAAGCCCAATCCTTACACGCAGTCTGATTCACAGAACTGAAGTTTGTGGCAATACACTGCATGTTGGGGTTTGCATCAAGCATTCATTCATATCACAGGTTACTGAAGGCTCACACAGCTTGTAGGGGCTGGATCACATTGCTATGAAACCATCCATGATGAGTGGTGCAGATCTCCAGCTGGATCACATTGCTATGAAACCATCTATGATGAGTGGTGCAGATCTCCAGCTGGATCACATTGCTATGAAACCATCTATGATGAGTGATGCAGATCTCCAGCTGATCACATTCATGAAACCATTATGATGAGTGGTAGGCCTATTATTGCCCGTTTCATGTGCTCTCACAATTGTAAAGGCCTGTTATTTTCACACATGGATTCTGTGGACACTTGTATCATCAAATTATGTGATGATAACGTAACATGATTGGATATTTGAGTATTTGATATTTAAAACCATTTCTGGAGTATCTATGAACATGTAACTCTTTCAAGTGGAGGTCACTTGGTGTCCAATCGTACAGTGAACTCTGCTTCCGGCACAGAAATGGTTTTATCATCAAAATATGATCCTCATATATGAGAATAATTCATAAACCGATAAACTACAGATCTTGAAAGCTTCCTCCAGAGATATTTGTGTATTTTTCTTTTTAAATTTCAGAGATCGATTTGGAAATCTTGGTTGTTGCGTGCTCCGCCCATGCATATCCAGAATGAGAAGGAAACGAGTGTTTAACTTTTTACTTCCATTTAGTTTTTTTAATAATTATTTAACATTAGTAAGTGACAACAATACTTGATGAAAACTGATCCTTGTATACTGAATATGATACACACATGCTTAACAGCATATCTATATAGATATATATATATATATATACTATCCCAAAAAAAGAAACGCATAGGCCAGAAATCTGTTGCGAAAATGTTGTATTTTCAAACATGTATAACTCGTAAACAAATAGTCTTAAGTGTATGCATTTTTACACCAGTTTAGAAGAAGGTAATGTCTATACAACCAAGTGAATACTTTTAGATAACGGAGACGTTGAGCGCGATGGTGACGACGTAGCACTGTCCGGAAAGTCGGGTCTCCTGGCTCTCAGACCAATCTCTTTCAACCTGTTCCGTACATTTTGACCGGATATCCTCCGAAGTCCAGGCACCCTGGCTGCTGTGCTCACACCCGTGGCAGTACGATCACGCAAATGTAGTACCCGGATGTACCGATCTTGGGCTGCAGTGGTGACTCGAGGTCTGCCTGTACGGGGACGGGTCATCTGTTATACCTGTTTGGTTGTAACGAGCTGCAAGCCGTGAGATTGTGCTCAGACTAACACCCAGACGCCTGGCAACAGATGATTAGTAATCTCCAGCGTGCATTCTTTCAATGGCGATGTTCCGTGTCGCAGCGTCAAGACGTGGCGTAGTGATTTGACCTTGAAACTCCTTCAAAACGAATGACATTTTCCGAAAGTAATCTGGATGTTTATTGCCAGACAGTGCATGCTCTTTGCTGCACAATTTCAACTGGAAGGTGATTTCTGTTGCGTTGTGACGATGCCTTTTTGATCCTTGTAAGAAATCTCATCCAAATCAACATATTCAGGTAAAATCGATTTTTAACTTATGCAATTGTGTAAAATCATGTTATCAACAATTCTGTTACATATTTTGACGATTGTTTGAACACAATAGGTAATTAATAGCTTTTTTAAAATAAAAAAAACCCTATGCGTTTCTTTTTGGGATAGTATATATACATGGGGCAGCTTCGGCATTCTTCAGAGTCAAGTAGCGGTGGGGTAGCCTAGTAGTTAAAGCGTTCTTTCGTCACGCCGAACGCGGGGGTTCGATTCTCAACATGGGTACTATGTGTGAAGCCCATTTCTAGTGCCACCCGTGATATTGTTGGAGTATTGGTAAAAACTTACTCACCCACTCTTCACAGTCAAACTGATTTAAGAACATAACACTCACTAACATGTACAGCCATTTGTACAACGTCTATCGGATCTGAAGGTGAGGTGAGGTGAAATTGGGTTTAACGTCGTGCTTGAGAATATTTCGCTCATATGACGACGTGCATGCGTGTGTATGTGTATGTGCGGCTGCTTATACTAGCCCAGACTTAAGCTGGTTGTATAGTGCTAGCCCACTGAGATACCATGCCGCAGTGAAGCATGAATACCCCACTCAGACACATTATACTGACTCCGAGCCGACCAGTCCTTGTTGTACCCATTAATGCCGAGCGCCAGACAGGGACCAACAAGTTCCATATTTTAACGTCGAACCCGCGACCTTCCACTCTCCGGGCGGACGCTGTAACCACTACACCACGTAGGCGGTCTATCGCATCTGATCACAACAGACAAGTAACATAGAGGGCTACGTCAGAGCAGAAAAGGTACATTTACCTGCAAAACTGATGGGATATTGTTACGAGTGAAGGTGCGAGAAAGGGTTACATGACACCAATTCATTCGCACAATGGAAATGGACCACACAACAATGTGACTAATTCAGGAAGTTTTATTAACACTATCCTAACAGAAGGCTGATACAAGATACCGATTTACAAGTGTGGTAAGTGAAGAGGACATTGTCTTAGCAATAATATTATGGGCAAAGTAATATGGCATAGTCACCTCATTTTAAAATCCTTCCAAAACTGTGTACACCATGATTTCCTAGTTTCTCATTTTCTATATTTGTCACAGTCCCGAAATGGGTGCAAGTTTGTGAATTTACAGCTGAACATTCACATCATGGGTAGAAAACAACTGGCAAAAGTCCAGTCCTCAAGAAACGTCCCAGCTAGATCAGACTCACCGAGCTGGCCACATTCAATTAATTCATCAAACCCCAAGCTGTACCACTAGTTACATAACAATTTCTCCCTCAAGCAAAGGCCCCTCACCCCAAACTAAATCTAATTACACCAAGTATACTCATCTAAAATTGTACATTATATTTGCAAAATATGTTTCATCACCCATAACAATATGATAGTGAGTGAGTGAGTGAGTTAAAATTAACGTCACAAGGGCAATATATGTTTCAGCCATATCGTGAATTAGAAAATGTAAACGAGATATTACTGAGTATCTGCCCCGGTCAGGTAAATATACATCTCAAGGTTAGGGAATAAGTATGTCGTATATCTTACAAAATAAATTAAACAAGATGTAAAAAGCATAATACATAATATAATCTAACGATAGACATTATGTTTTTTGCAAAAAGGGTACGAATGTCCTGTTCCACCCAGCACAAATACATGCAAAGGCAAGGGAATTAAATTTAATGTATTTGTCACTTGACATCGCTCTGCAGAAAAGTTAGAAGCATATATTTTCATGAACACTTCCTCTGTCCTAATATAATCTTCCAAATTTCTTTCGCCATATTTGGAGTCACCTTTTGCGATGCAAGTTTGAATGGTTTTTTTAAAATCACATATTTGATTTGAAGGTCCCTTAGGGAGATAGGCCGCTGGGGAAACGCCTATATGTTTGCCCCCAATGACTTTCAAAAGAATCCCTGTGATGTGGGCGTCCTCAATGCAGACGTAGGGCATATACTCCGCTGCCTCCAGAACCCTGAACGCTAGGTCCGACGGCATTACATAGAAGTTCCCCTTCACATGAGGAGGATAAGCTCTGAAAGGATAACTCGCCTTGCCCAACTGGTGCTTTCCACCTCTTTCAACGCCTGCTGTTTCAAAATACGGTCCAAGGACAGTATTTCTCAAATCTAATGTTCCTAGAATTTTCACGAGTGAGGCCATATTGATAAATGTGTCCTCGTCTACCTTTAGGATGTATTTTGCTGCAGGACAGAACTGCTTTGCCCATTTATATCCCATCAAAACTTTATATGTTAGATTATAATAGGATTCTTTAAAATTTGCTTCGACAATATCGTGGTATACCTCATTTTCCTCACGAGCGAGATCGGATTTTGAATTGTTATCTGGTTTTCCCAACAAGAACACTATCAAAGTGTCTTCGTGAACATTCGCTTCTCCCCACTTCTTGGTCTTAACAACACTGCCCCAAGTTTCACGAATTGCCTTCCTTTCTTCAACATGGTCGTGCATTGTCATTACCAGCACTAGTAGCAAAGGGTAGTTCTTGCTGTGGCAAACCGGCGATCCAGTTATGGTAAAATTGAAGTCAAGAGGGGTTATTCGTTTTTGGCGCTTGACAAAATATAATTGTTCCTCACTAAGCACATTGTCTTTGTGTGCATATTTGTTTAGGATAACTGTTGTTCTTGAGTGGACTGTAGCACCGTCTGTTTTGATCTGTGGCTTCTTTGAATGTTCTTGGAGTTTTTCCTTGCGAGAACCTAAGACATTAGATCCGGTTAGATGCCGGTTTTTGGTGGAGACGGCATTGGCGATGTCTGGTGACTGTGTATACCGTACGACTCCCAACACGAGGACAACAACGACCACGGCGAATCCACATTGTTGGCGGCGGCGCATAACTACAGCGTCAGTCAGAGTCTGAAACAAACAACCGGATAACAGTGAATCTCTACGATAGGGTCTCCTGTATTCGTGCCACCGTGGGACATCTACGATTTGCATGTGCATGTGTATGTGTGTGTATATATGCCAGTGTGTGTATGTATGTCTCTGTGTGTGTGTGTGTGTGTGTGTGTGTGTGTGTGTGTGTGTGTGTGTGTGTGTGTGTGTGTGTGTGTGTGGATGCCTGTGTGTAGATATGTTTGTGTGTGTTTGTTTGTCTGTGTGTGTGTGTCTGTGTGTGTATATATGTCTGTGTGTGTATGTCTCTCTGTGTGTGTAGGTCCCAGATAGCACGACGTCATCGGTCCGTCCGTGGCTACAGTCGGCAAGCCGACAGTGGCTAATAGCTGGCGGCCCGCTCGCGGTGCGCCGGCTTGTTTGTTGTAACAATGTTCCATAAAGTTATGCAACTTTGTTACATTTATTTTCGTAAACAAGAAACGTTATTTACGGTGAAATCCAGTGCTTGATATGAGAGTGTATATTTAATGATTCTAACACATACATTTACAAGAAAGAAAAAAACAATTCCGATTTTCGATACAGAGGTTATGCAAGAGTGAACAGTTCTGCCTCATGACCGCCATTTTCAAAGTACAAGAGCCACCGATCTCCAACTAGCATTCATTGTCCCATCCTTGGGAATGATATCGGATTTCTTACAACGGCCTAACATTTAGTTAAAATATCGTTTGTTTGTTTTTCAAAGAAGGTTGTTCCTAACTCTCAGTTTTTACAAGATGCGTGTGTGTATGTCTTGCGTTTTTACGAACACACGATCCGATCTTAATTACTATCGAAACACAAGCACGGGCATCGGAGTGATGCTGTTTTCCCCCGAATATGGCGGTAATTTTGCGAAGTGTTCAATTAGTATTTTCAATATGTTGAACTTATTTCCAAAAAGTACCCGATACTAAAGAGTCATTGTTCTTTCAGAATAATATAAACACTACAGACTATTGTTTCGCGTGATAACACCTTTGTTTTTAGCGGGATATATAGCGGTTAATGAAATATGCCTTAAAACTTACGCACTCCCGCATTGTCTATGCTGAATGTAAATATGATTTCCTTATTGTTTCAGGTGCAGTGCGAAAAACTTAAATACTGATTCGCGTTTTATTTGTACAGAAGAGGCGGTCGCAAATGAACACAGGAATCCAAAACATACAGTTGTATTGCAAAATGATCTCTATGATTTTTCTATGTGAATCAATATCAGAATAAAAATTCAGTGTTCATACATTACTTCCGTTTTACTATCTTGAAACAATATTCCGTAGCGTGCTTCAACCACGTGGCCTCACGTTACCCAAACAGTCTTCGGAGTGCGAAGGATATTGCACCGAACAAGTTTCAGCTTGGCTGTCACATCGCCTATGTACCATATGCCACAAGTGTTGTTTGTATTTTAACCCCTATCAATACAAACTGATGGATAAAAGAAATTATATGGACATCTGCAGCATCATGTTTGACACATCAAAATATCTCAAATGAGAGATATTAGTTAACAAAATAATAAGTGCTTGTGCATGGTCCGCACTGGAAAATGATAGTAAAAAATGCTTTAACTTTCAAATATATAATTTGATATTAAACTGTTAACTATAAAAACACATTTACAACTGAATAGGCATGGGTATCTTGCATATGTTATCTTTGAAAATATATGAACGAATTTATTTTTTGGCACAAATACATAAAGCATGCAGTTTTCACGTATTTGTAAATACATGTCTTACCCCAGTCGTCTTTGAATCAATTTGATACAGTTTACTGTTATACATTATTACCAAGTCCACGATCATTGTTACAAACTTTTGCTGGAATGAGTGCTAATTATACATAATCAAATTTTACATGGCTTTACTATCCAAAGTTTATTAATGATTCATATGAATTGCGTATATATTTTAATCATGGCCAGTTGGGAGTTTTCATTAGTATCAAAGTTAGAGAGGAAAACTACTGATATAAATATCTTGAAATTGACGAAATTATAGGATATTTATATAGCGCACATATCCAGGCAACTAGTGCATGCTCAAGGCGCCGTTATTCAGTGAAGGAAATATGATCTACATTTCCAGTTGTACGCAATGAAATTCATGATATATATTTAGATCATGATTATGATTCATATACGAATTATATATATACATATAAGTGGCGGTTTTTAATACATATAACTCATTCATGTAAATTGGTGTCTTTAAATTAAATACAAATATCAATAATTAATCATTGCTCGTTGTTACTTTGATGTCAAACGAACCTTTTTTGATATCACACTATCATTGTAAGATTTCAGTAATTGCACTTTGAATATGCTAAGGCACCTAAAATATATCCAATTATTTACGGATTTGTTGAAAATTGAGTGAGTGAGTGAGTGAGTGAGTTTTTAGCCACAAGAAATGTGCTTCACATATCTTGAAAAGAAATGACCAGTAATGTCATCATAAATGTGAAATCAGCTTGTCACGCGATTCAGTAAATGATGTAGTTGTTTTTAAAGTTTTAAGCCTTATATAAACATTTCATACACGAGGTGACTTGGCAGCACAAAGCTATGGAAAATGCATGGGGCTCCTTTCACGAAGCAACCTTTACTAAGGTTAACCTTAACTCCCATTCTTTAACATTGCACTAAGGTTACCTTAGTGACTTACGATCACCTTAGTTTGTACCGTAATCGGAGTATTTTGTTGAAAACAGCAGCATGTAGAATTGTATCAAAGGCGATGCCTGTTCTATGGCACGATTTATTTCAAGATTTCGCAATTGGAAGAAATTGTTTGCCAGTGACTTGATCGCGATTGTGAGGTCTCGTATCATGTTGCCACTTGATCCACACCTAGACTATCGCTTAGTCTCTGAATATCTAAAAGTTTGATAGTAACTAACAAACCCATTATAAATTGAAAAGGAGCCCCAGGGAAACCAGAACATGAGGAAATCTAGACTTGTTTCATTTAGGGCTTTAGCATTGCAGAAAGGGCTAGGCAGTAGGGAAAATACTATTGTGGTTCAGGGACTGTGAGACAGACTAGATCCACACCCCGTAACAGCTAGTCACAGCGCATTATAGATATGTTCTCTCAGTGAGTGAAATTGACCTTTTTCTTTTAGGCCAGCGTACATTCTTGTGCTTAGACTCATATCTAGTCGGTCAGCAGAACCATGTAATTTATGAACCCCTTGCGGTCAGTTCCGGTGCGGCAAGAAAAAAAACCTCAAAAAGGCTCTCATTCTGACGCCTGATATTCAGGGTATACATCAGACTGACTTTTGGCACCGATATATTTTTTTCTTATTTTAAATATATATCTACCAACTAATAGATAAATAAAAAAAACAAAACAGTCCACAAACCATTTCTAATTCAGGAACTAACCAAACCTGTAAGACTTGAATTCAGTAAAATTATTTAAAGGCCAAATATAGAGATAGCAAAGGAAAGGAAATATGCATCTGCTCACTTGACCATAATGTTTGTTACATTATTTTATCAAGAGTTTCTAACTTTCAAATATAGCTTTTTTGTACTCCTGCTTTGAACCCTGCCCCTTTGGGTGTTTATGTGCAGTATATCTCCTCCACTGGTCTATCAGAGTAAAAATATCAGTGTTAAGTGATGAAATGTATATTTTGCACCATTTTCATGCTAATAATACTAATTACCTTAATCTGGGTACTTAGATTGTAGCCTACAACCTTATTACCTACAAGTAATGGCTGTCTGGGTCAAACCTTGTTTGTTTTTAGTAACCTGATACATTTTGTGGCTGGTTATGACAAGAATTTCTAATTACCGGATAACACATTTACTGCTGCTGAGAGATCCTGCAAGATAAAAACCTTTCTTGCATTTGGCCCAGGACTATAACCTTGTCTGTCCACATGCCACTGCCACTCAGCCAGCATAATTATGACCAATACATCCTCCTACTCACAGGTGACTCAACTGACAACCATAAATGTTGGTTACGTTGTATTTTTCTGCACTTGGTCCAAACTTGATGTAGTTTCAAATGCTTGAGATTTTCCACTTCAATTTGACAAACAAATACGTGTACTGATGCACTTGAATCTGTTAATTTAATTGTGAGCATGAATGCAGTCAGAATTCCCTTTTTGAGCTTTCGTAATTCCATTGCAGATATATCTTTGTATGTTTAATGCAGGAACATTTCCTCATTTCAAAGTCTAAATCCTGTACATTGTGTAACATAGGAAAGAGGGTAAACACCAGTGGACAGAATAAGATTAACTGAAAAATCAAGGAAGAATCTCTCTAAAGACATTAAGACATGTTATAACTTATTGATAGGTCAATAGACCAACTGTTTCTATGCAGGGATATGTTATTAGTCTTTATGGTTTTTTAAGTTCCCTTAGCAGTCAAATTGCATAAAATGGTAATTTTGTTCAAAGCGGGGGTTTCTTAAAATAACTTTTTCTTTTTTTAAAAATTGAGGTGAACATTTCTTTCAATACAAACAGTAAGAATTAAAACCTCTTCCTGTTGTAAGTTACCTTTACAAAGCCATAACAACAGTTTCAGAAATGCCGCTTTGATGCATCTATTCAGGAAGTGTGCATCATGCATCATTGGCCCATCACCCGGCTGATAGTTTGCACTGTCGCCTAATATCGACATCTCTCAACAGCACTGGGCAGACAGTATTGATATAAATCATAGAATTGATGATTGTTATTATGAATAGTAACTTTAAACAAAAATCAAAAAGAAATCTGAAAGAAATCAACATATTTTGTATTAGTGGTGAGTTTTGACATTTATGCATGGATGACTAACAAAACTGCATCCTGAACATAACTTATAAGCAACCCATGAATAAAGACATAACTTTGTATATTGTGTGAGTAAATTGAAACTATGTTTCATCACAATCATGCATACTATTTATGATATTATGGGTATTCTTAAATTCCATTCAAATTGA